CAAAATTACAGAATGTAATATTTAATAACAGAAATTATAAAAATTTATATCAAAATATTATAAAAAGCTCCTATAGCAGATCACAGTGATTTTGGGTTCAGTGCTGTCTGAGTAATGAACGTCTCGCTCTACAGATTCACGCTATCTTCAGGTGGTTTCATGCAGTAAAAAGAAGGCCATCAAGGAGCTGAAAGCAGAGCCGGACCCTTGGACTTTTTCAGTGAGAGTCTTTAAGATCGAATAACATGTTTGTTTCCATATTTAACGCACTGCATTCATAGGATTATTCAAATCTGTTTGAAACATGATTGACTGTGGGACAGAAATAAGACACTGTCTCTTTCATCTCCAACTCCATTTTCATTCTAGAAAAGCGAAGATATGAAAAACAAAGGAAATGAGCATTTTCAGAAGAAGAAATATGATCTGGCGTTGAAGTGGTACACCAAAGCCATTAAATACCAGTAAGTGACCGAAGAACCTCGCTGCTTTAATTCCCAATCCACGTCAGTTTCCCAGGTTCTTCTTTCCATCCTGTGTTTCAGCCCGAGCAACCACATCCTGTACGGGAACAGAGCGCTCTGCTACATTCGCTCGGAGAAATATCTGTGAGTTGGACACAAACCGTACACAGTATTCAAAAACCTGATTGATTGGTGATACTGATTGTGGGAACCGTTTTCAGGAAAGCACTTGGAGACGGAAAGAGAGCCATTATATTACAGCCAGAATGGGCCAAGGTGAGTGCTGGTTCACTGAACACACTGCCACCATCATCATCATCATCATCATCATCATCTCTCTGTGTCAGATAGACACTGGAGAAACGTTGCACACTATGTAGTAGGGCTGGGTTGGCAATATTTGAATCAATTCTCATTTTGATGAACTGATAACGATCTATATACAAGAACAAAACTTAATGGAATGTTATTTATAGCGCATCCCATCCAATAAATCGCAGTAATCTTTGCGCTTTGTCACTTTTGATATGACGCAAAGCCTCAGCTTTCAAATTAAGTCAGTATTATTATGAAATCCAAACAAGAAATACCATTTCGGCGTTTTTTTATTGTGTCGTGACCGATCGCTGTAGCACCTCAGTTGAAGCGTGACGCGATCGTCTCTAGTTACAGCAGCAAATAAACATGAACATCACTTGCTGAAATCAGTCCTGAATCATGTAATCAGCCACAGAAACAGCTTCGTCACATTTACCTCAGCAAAGACACTCCGTGACCATAAACTCAATAGTCAGCTAAAATAATAACTAGAGAGAGGAGCGTTTTCATTAATGTATGCACTATATTACATGTTAATTATGTTTTTATTTAATCTGTTCTTCAGTATTTAAGGATTGTTTGAATAAATCTGTCATGTAAACAAGTTGTGATATTCAGTTTGAATGTTGGAGTAGAAATAGTAATGTCAGTAAAATGTTTCGTCACATTTACCTCAGCAAAGACACTCCGTGACCATAAACTCAATAGTCAGCTAAAATAATAACTAGAGAGAGGAGCGTTTTCATTAATGTATGCACTATATTACATGTTAATTATGTTTTTATTTAATCTGTTCTTCAGTATTTAAGGATTGTTTGAATAAATCTGTCATGTAAACAAGTTGTGATATTCAGTTTGAATGTTTGACAAACTGGAGTAGAAATAGTAATGTCAGTAAAATGTTATAATAATAATAATAATATGTTATCATATAATAAGCTTTTATTCTGAAAGCTGCCGTATGTGCAATTTAAATACTTGTTCACAAATATGTGACCCTGGACCACAAAACCAGTCATAAGGGTCAATTAAAAAAATAATAAAAAAAATTCTGAAAGCTGAATAAATAATCTTTCCATTGATGTATGGTTTGTTAGGATAGGACAATATTTGGCTGAGATACAACTATTTGAAAATCTGGAATCTGAGGGTGCAAAAAAATCTAAATATTGAGAAAATCATCTTTAAAGTTGTTCAAATGAAGTTCTTAGCAATGCATATTACTAATCAAAAATTAAGTTTTGATATATTTACGGTAGGAAATTTACTAAATATCTTCATGGAACATGATCTTTACTTAATATCCTAATGATTTTTGGCATAAAAGAAAAATCTATAATTTTGACCCATACAATGTATTGTTGGCTATTGCTACAAATATACCCCAGCGACTTAACACTGCTCACATATTAATGTACCAGATGATTTATTTTGCTGTCGGAGCGAATGTTAACACAAGTTCTGTTAGTGTTTCTGTTCAGCGCTGTCGGAGTTTCCCGACTACGACGACTTCTGCTTCTGAGAGTCTGAAAAGCGTCCGTCCATTAGTTGAGATCCTCTGAATGATTTTCTGCAGCTCTGTGGTGAATCTGGTGGAGCTGCACCAGAGAGCCGCAGCTCTGTCAGGGTTTTAATGCCATGTGTTCTCTGGGCTTTCAGGGTCACTACCGCTTCTGTGACGCTCTGTTCTATCTGGGGGAACATCAGAAAGCTCTGACGGCCAACCTCCTGGCTCAGGACGCCTGCGGCGCAGACACCGAGGGACAGAAAGACCTGCTGCAGCAGCACGAGCGCTTCCAGACGGAGCTGCAGGAGAGCAGAGGTAACGTCTGATCCTTCAGCACGGCTTCAGTGCTGAGCCACCGCAGCAGAGCGCTTCATTTGTGTTGTGTTTCCAGCAGAGATGAAGACCAAGAAACCCGAAACGAAGAAAACTTCTTCTAAAAGCAGGTTAGTGCTTGTTAATGCTGTAGTGCTGCTCTCGTCCTGCTGTGTGAGGGAATGATTTAGGTGTGTTTTGTACTGCAGATCACACGCGGCCGGCGATTCTTCAGGTCCTCATCAGAAGTCCAGTCGTCCGCCGGAAGCCACGTCTCAGTCTTCAGTCCTGGAGAGTTCGGTGAGATGAGACTCACAGACGCTTGCACTATACTGTGTTATTTTACGATTATTTATGTACTGTTATAGTTTGCATAATATTTTAGATTAGATTTTATTTTTATACTTTAAATTTGTTTTTATTGCTTTTTGTTAATTTCATGTGTGTCATTTTTATTAGCTTTTGTTTTTACTTAATATATAATATACATTTTTTACATTAAGTTTTTTTTCCTCTCTTTAGGTTTTGTTTATTTTTAGTTCAGTTTTAGTTTTTCAATAATTTATTTCCAGTTAGTACTACAGTGCGGTAAAAATGTTTTAGATAATAACCCTGCTGTGAATGTGATTTTGTGTTTTATCACGCGGGTGTGAAGTCTAATCGCTGTAATGTTGTTCTTCTCCCAAACACCAGCAATCTGAAAACTGGAAAGACCAGGATGACACCGCAGGTGAGGAAGGAGGAGATGCTTGAGAGGTTTTTTTTGCTTAGTGTTGAACATGCATTGGCCGTTTAGTACAATTGAGCTCAGTTCCACTACGAAGGATCTAAGGATTCAAGAGAGCAACCGTACATTTGTGTTTTACTTTCTTTTGTACTCATTCAGTTATCACTTATTTTTATTATCATTCCATTTAATCATATAATCATTCATAGTAATCATTTAAACCATTTATATACTCATTGGATCATTATTATATTTTATAAACTATTGTTGTTTAGTCTTATTATTGTGTGGTTTTAAGGGATATTTGTCTTCATGAGTAAGAGATAAGAGACTGTCTCCATTGCAAGGTTTTTATCGTGACTGGATGATGTTGTGAAGCAGTAACTTTCCATTGTTATGGCTTGTGGTGTAAAAACACTTGTTGGATCTGTGCTGGTCAGATGAAGTCTGAGCATTGAAACCTACACAACTAAGATTATACAATAAACTCCTCCTTTTGATCATCATCATCATCATCACTTCATCTCCTGCTTTGCTCTTCTCTGGTGTTTTGGTGTAGTTGACAGGATGCCGGCATGATCTAATAACTGGAAGCTTCAGTTTAAATGTGCACTGCGCTACTGAAAGCTGCTTTATGACAAAATGATGTTTGTGTGTGTGTGTGAGAGAGAGACAGTGTGTGTGTGAGAGAGAGACAGTGTGTGTGTGAGAGAGAGACAGTGTGTGTGTGAGAGAGAGACAGTGTGTGTGTGAGAGAGAGACAGTGTGTGTGTGAGAGAGAGACAGTGTGTGTGTGAGAGAGAGA